TTCTCTCTCTCTCTCTCTCTCTCTCTCTCTCTCTCTCTTCCATTTTCCCTCTCCCACGTACCTCATCTCTCAGAAAAAAACCAAAATGACATTGATTTGAAAAACAGTAGATGTGCTATACACTTTCTATTATTATTGGGAAAAAAGTTGTAAAATATATTTCTACTGTTTACTATGGAATAATGTTTTAAGTGCTAGCCGATTTTTGTGAGCTACGATGTTGGTTCAAAGCCCCAAAGCGGCGTTCTTGAACTTGTGCTGTTTAACCCTATCCGTACGCCCTGGGGTCATTTTGTACCCTCGGGGTTGTGTTCTTCACATTTTAGAATATTTCTAGTGCTAAGATCTCTTTGAAACTTTCAGTATTTAAAAAAAAATCATTTTGACAGACTGCTATGCAAAGCGTACGGATAGGATTAACGAGTAAATTTCATCTTTGGAAGTGGTGGCACAGAGTTCCCCACGTCGTATGGATACAATAGTAAAACACGACGTACGGATAGGGTTAGAAAGTTTTCAAGTCTCTTTGCTCACTAATTACGATTACACGCAACCTTTTGGAGACAGATGTACCATTTGGAGATGCCGCCTCTCAAATGACCAAGCAAAGTGTTCGAGAGTGTTAAATTTCTAGATATCATTACATGTATATCACACGGTTGCATGATGCAGATCAAATAAACATAATTCCAGATGTCAGTGTTTCAAACCAGTCGCCCAAGTTGTCCAGAAATGATACTTAGTTTATCGTGGAACGCAGATTGTTTTAAATCTGTCTTCGGCTGACTCATTTTAAAAGTCGAAGGAAAATCTTAGTACCGGGGCCATAAATTGTACATTTATTTGGATAGTGCATGACATTGCTTTAAGCTGCCCTTGTTTGAGAAAATATTGAAGTTGAAGGAGAAATAACTCTTCTGCATGCGTAGAAATTAGATACCCGGTACTGTTTCTCCTATTTACTGTCCTTTCTTCTTATTTTTCAACACCGTAACTAATTAATACATTTTTATTGCGTTCCATCTTCAACGTTTTGGTGCTCTTGTTTCAGACGCTATCACATTATCTCACGTTGATGGAACCGGGAGTAAGCAAGAGGACTTTCGTAGCGAAAAAAAGACTGAAAATTGTGTCCGTCAACTGAAAACTGTGCTCATTGCATGCTCTAGGTAAGGCCTTTTGGCGGGGTTGGAAAACAAGCCGTGCTTGAGTTGTTTCTCTGTTGTTCGGTTTGCTTACTTCTTGTTGTTTTGTTGCTGCTGGTTTTTAAAAATTTTGTTCTTGTTTTAGGGAGGTTTTCTTGTTTACTTGTTATTGTATAGTTTATTTTTGGTTTGGATTGTGTGGGGGGTTTTTGTCGTTATTTTGTTCGATGGTGTGCTGGCTTTGATTGCATTTTGTTTTGGTTTATTTAGTCTCGTTTGTTCGTTTGTGCGTTGTTGTTGTTTTCAGTTGTTTTATTTGTTGTTGTTGCTATTGTTGCTGTTGTTGTTGATGTTGTAGGTGTTGTTGCTTGTTTTTTGTGTGTTTTGCTTTGTTTTGTTTTGGGTTTTTTCGGGTGGGGGAGGGGGGGGGTGTTGCTGTGTGTATGAGTTCAACATTCAGCTAGAGACAATTATGTAATAATTCGAAAGATGGGACAAATGCCTACATTTTGGGAGTGAAGGGGGAGGGATATTCTTTTTAATGTCATATCGAACCCGATTACACAAAAGATCACTGACATGATGGTCGAAATATGTTCAGTTGTGAAAGCCAACACTTTCTTGCTTGCTGTCTTGGACGGCAAAGAAGCTAACTAGTCAGTGTTTAAGATTCCCAATAACATTTATTGTTCTAAGAATAACAACAGAACCTGCAAGAAAGCCTCAAAAGTATAGTAAAATAAATCAAGGGTTGGTTTCGTGATTGAATATCCTTAGGAGTAGTTACATTTATTTGTATTGGGTCGGTTCATCAAAAATAATTTTAAAATTCATCCTGTAAGGTTTAAGCAATTAAAAGCAAAAATAATAATGGCAATTATACGATGCTGGCTAATGTCGATGAGAATGACGTAACTTTCTTCGATCCTGTCTCGTTAAAGCTATAGGTCTACGCCTATGGCCTACGCATAAAATAAGACGACCATTACCATCTACAGGAGCAACGAAGAGCTAGGGGCACGTTGTCCTTAAACGTTGCAGACAAAACATATTATAATATTATATTCCTTCCGCTATAGGCTATGAAAGAAAATTAGAATTAGAAGTGCCGCGAATGTTATTTCCCTTCGACATTTTGTTTTGTTAACAGGACATTAAGATTACCATTAATATGAACCTTGAGCGAGACTTGGAAATATATATTATGTCTTGTCGATCAACGCGAATCGACTACATAGTATATTATTCATTATACATTACTTTTGGCAACTTAATTAAGTCTATCTTGCCCCTTTCCCTATTTGCAGGCTCTGGTGGTTGTCTCGATAGCCTGACCTCATGTCCTGTCAGTATGGACACTGGGAACAAAAGTCAAGTAAAACTCCAGGAACCAAAAGAGACGGGGGCTGGTAGACTTTCATCTCCTGAACATCATCGTCCTAATTTCCACCGTCGTGGCTTCAGAGACAATCAGTTTCTTTGGTACACGTATTATCTTCAACACCAACACCACCAACATAATAA